TATATTTGTAAATGACATATCCGACAAGGGGTTAACATCCAAAATATATAAAGAACTTACATGCCTCAACACCCAAAAAGCAAATAACCCGATTAACAAGTGGGAAGAGGATATGAAGAAACAGTTCACCAAAAAAGAAATTCAGATGGCCAACAGACACAGGAAAAGATGCTCCACATCACTAATTATCAGGGAAATGCAAATTAAAACCACAATGAGATATCAGCTCACACCAGTAAGGATGGCCAGCATTGAAAAGACTAAGAACAACAAATGCTGGCGAGGATGTGGAGAAAGGGGAACCCTCCTACACTAGGGAATTTAAGCTAGTTCAACCATTGTGGAAAGCAATATGGAGGTTCCTCAAAAAACTAAAAATAGAAATACCATTGGACCCGGGAATCCCACTCCTTGAAATTTACTCAAAGAATACATCTTCTCAGATTAAAAAAAGACATATATACCCCTATGCTTATCACAGCACTTTTTTCAATAGCCAAGATATGGAAGCAACCTAAGTGTCCATCAGTAGATGAATGGATAAAGAAGATGTGGTACATATACACAATGGAATATTATTCAGCCATAAGAAAGAAACAAATTCTACCATTTGCAACAACATGGATGGAGCTGGAGGGTATTATGCTCAGTGAAATAAGCCAGGCGGAGAAAGACAAATGCCAAATGATTTCCCTCATTTGTGGAGTATAACAATGAAGCAAAACTGAAGGAACAAACTGGCAGCAGACTCAGAGACTCCAAGAAGGAACTAGTGGTTACCCAAGGGGAGGGGTGTGGGAGGGTGGGTACGGAGGAGGGAGAAGGGGAGTGAGGAGTATTATGTTTAGTACACATGGTGTGGGGGATCACGGGGAGAACAGTGTCACACAGACAAGGCACATAGTGGATCTGTGGCATCTTACTACACTGATGGACAGTGACTGCACTGGGGTATGGGTGGGGGCTTGATAATATGGGTAAATGTAGTAACCACATTATTTTTTCATGTGAAACCTTCATAAAAGTGTATATCAATCATACATTAATAAAAAATATACACATATATTTTTTTTTAAAAAAGAAAAGCACCAGAGTAATCACTGAAAAACTTGTAAGACATGTAACATTCCTCAGTATGGAAGGGTGACAAATACTCTGAAATACCAGCTACACATTAGAGACAAATTCAGAAATATTGCTCATTGATTCATTTATCAACTACTTACTAAGTACCCACCATGCAGTCAATATACGTGAATATTGCATAAAGCCTCTATCTTTATGGAGTTTAATTTTACTGGTGAGGGAGAAAATACAGAGGTGGGAAATTCAAAGTATTTTTAAAAATAACACAGGAAATGTAGTAGACATTTCAGGCCTGGGTGGAGTAAGCACTACTTAGGCTGTTTGCCTTCATAAACCCTGTGGGGATGCACTCCCTCACTCCTGGTACTAGAGGGATTTGGAAGAAAATATTGCGATGTACTTAATGTTAGTACTTAATGTTAGGACTGAGCCCTAGAGACAAGAATTGGGTGACCTGGAGTCAGCAGAGTATGCTTTATGCTTCTGTTTAAAAGTAGCATTTTCTGTAATATAGGTGACAAGAATATTGGTCCAAGACATGCTAATGGATACAGGAGTAGTATTGGGCATCCAAGGATGAAAGAGGTCAGGTAACATGGAGCATTCTATTTCCTTTTTAGATGCAAATACACATCAGTCTAGCGCATGTTCTAAAAAGTCCTTAGAAAAACATATCTCTTTATTCTCTGTTTAGCCATTTGTCTCCCTTATTTACTTGAACACAGCCTGTGCTTTTCTGTCCTTAGTGACAAACTGAACTTCACTGGATTTAAGACACCCCCGATGTAAGATGTACCATTACTTTATTTGCCACTAAGAAAGAAAAAACAAACTCTGCCTATTATAATTGTAATAGATTGTTAATTATGAGACACATTCTGATTTGAGAGGTGCTAATACATGAAAATAATCTGAAACTTAGAATTGTTGGATAGAATCAGATTTGGTTCTGAGATATGCCAAACTAAGGGGGATTTCTCCTCCCAGCCAATATATATTGTGATTGTTTACTCCTATTCTTTTATTTTAATTACCATGAAACAGATATGACAGTATGCTAAGGTTGTGGCATAGATAACCCACTGATCAAGAAAGATTTGTATTCCCTTTCCATAGCATAGAATTGGTATTGTGGAGTGGTACCCACCAGTGACTCTGTGTGTGTGTGTGTGTGAGTTTTGGGTAAGGCTAGGAGGCTTGAAGCTTAGGAGACAGAGTCCTTGCAATTGTGTGTGGTCTTGGGTCAAGTCCTGGCCAATGGAGTGAGAGCAGAGAGAGTGCATGTCACTTCCGAGCAGAAGTATTTAAGTATCTGTGTCTTCCCATTTTGTTGTTGTTATTGTTTTTTTATTCTACAGCAAACTTAGAGGCTGCATATTGAATATGGTGCCATAATGAAATAAAATGAGTCTGGATCCAAGAATTGTTCTTGGAGTACCTCCAAGTCAGGAATATCCTCAGTGAGCATTTCATGAGGAAGAAATAAACTTTTATTGCATTGAGTCACTGAGATTTGTAGGTTCACATAGTGATTAGTCTAACCTAACACAGGTCAGTTCTGTTTTCTTTATTCTTACGAATATACAATACCTGCCAAATACTATCAAACACTTCTCCCAGAATTCTGGGGAAGATGCGCTTCCTCCATTGAGTGAGTGATGATAGTTCCTGAGCTGACCTTGCTCCAAATGGAGTGCAAAACTGAGTTGCTCCCCATGTCCCTAGCCAAGTCTCTATCCCTATGCCCAGGGTATAATTATTACTGTATTGTATGGAAATTACAGCCCAGGATAATAACTAATCACTACTGTCCTACTTCATTCTAACAGTGCAGTGGTAGGTCCATCCACATAAGCAAATAAAATTTGATGACAAAGAGATTAATGTTTCTCCTTTGTATTTGATAGATGGCCTGTCTTCTGGAAGAGGCACACAGAACTGAGCCACCTTTGATTAAGGTCAGTAGATGCTAGGGTGTTAATCCCATAAAAAGTAAGCATTTTTACAAGGCACTATCATGAATTCTCTAGTCATCGATAAGAAAATTTTCCAGGAAGACTTCTATAAAACATATATTAACATCTCATGAAACATATTTGGAGAGAGCTTCTTGAACCCTTTATCTTAGTCTTCATCTTATCCAGCAAGGGGTTTTCTCTTCAGTGATGAGAAGAAAGAGGATTTGCACCATTACATGCATATCACTCTATTCAATTAAGTGCTATTTTCTAGTAATGGGGTGTAGTTGCATCTCACCTGAAATAACACATTTGTTTCTCCTTCTTTGGAGGTGGACACAGACGAAGAGAAATGGGATATAAGCAATGCACAGCCTCAAAATATTATTAATAAGGCGTGAGGTAATTTAATTTGCATTTCAGCATAAAGGATGGATTAGAAGAGTTGAGGCATTGGAAGAGGTGAGTCTGGTCCCTGGAAGATTGGTTAACTGTATTGCACTAATCTAGGTCAAGATTTATGTTCACTTGTAACACTAATAGAAATGAAGGCTGACATTTTAGAATTATTTTATAGATAAAATCTCTAGGGCATGGTAGAATGTTTTATTTTAAAATGTAGGTTTTATTACTCAAGTGTGGTGAGGCCAACAGATCAGAAGATCATTGCCATTGCAAAGGGAGTTTGTTACTCACAGTTCCCAGCAGGAGGAGGCCCCACACCAGGCAGGGCCACATGCGTCCTTCTGTCAGTAGACAGGAGTGAGAGGAAGGCCTGGGCAGGAACCTTTACTGTGGTTTCTGTGGGAAAGGCAAGGAAAGGAAGCGTAAGCAGGCTCAGAATCTGCTAGTTTGAACAATTTCAGGAGTCTGTAGGGTATAGGTGCTTTCTCAGGTTTCTGGTGCCTGGCCCTGTGATGATTAAGGCAGAAGAATATTGACTCCTCAAGTATAAAACCCAGACATAGGAAATGGTTCAGAGTATGGGCTTTGGATTGGTTAGTGTGTCTATGAAAGGTATACCCCAGGGAAAATCATTTGCTATCTCTAAGAATTGGCTAGCCCCGTGAGGGACAGTCTATCCCCAGCCACAGAGCCCCACTTCAAGAGCAACAAAAATGCCAAAAATAAAAAACAGAATTAATGCACATTTGATGAGGGAAATGGAGAAATCATAGAGATTTCCATAGACTAACTATGTGGAAAGTGAAGTGCTATTCACTTTCCAGGGAACTAACCTTTATTGTGGCATCTACTGTGTGCCAAATACTACTGTAAGACCTTTACATAATCGCAATTAATACTCAAAGTAAAGCTTTGACAGGGGTCTAATTTTAGCTTAAAATTTACAATGGTGTTGAGGACGTCTGCGAGAGTTGGTGCTTAATCCCCTGTGATATGCTCCCTCCCAGCTTGATTTTAGAGATGTTGCATTTGGGGTGCCTGCAGGACATCTTGGTAGAATCTTCTAGGACACAAAACCCATAATATCCCTATTTTAAACTATGATCTTAGTTATCAGAAACTTAGATTGTTCTTGCTACATCCCAGATACTGTCCTAAAAGCTTGACAAATGCCACCTTACTTAATTCCAACACAATACTTCAAGATTATTATCTCACACTATCTCCATTTTATTCATACTTTAATCATAATAGTAGCAATTTATACAATATACTTACTGGCACACTTGCACTAGACTAGGTGTTTTATGTAAAATTAACTTAATTCAATCATAAAAGACAAATATGATCATCTGCATTTTAAAGGCCAGAAAACTAAGGCCTTAGTGGTTTGTATCATTTGACTGCTATCACATGGCTTTATTTTGATGAATTTCATAAATGTGAGCTTCTGTTTTGATTCGAACTATTTCCCATTTTACAGACCACAAATTAAGGCTCAGTTGTTCAAATGACCTGACCAATGTCACAAAGTCATACATCACCCACTCTGCACTGGAATTTCAGTATATTTGATTCTTCATACCAATCTTTCCCCAATATCCCTAAGTTTTTTAACTGTTTCAAGGGAGCTTTATTTTCAATTAGTTTCATGAATATGAGTTTCTTCTTCACAAGATTTCACAAGATCGGACAGTGCTGTAGACTGAATCCTGTCTCCCTCCCCAAACCTCAACCCATCAGATTCATATGTAGAAGTCCTAATGTGACTGTATTTTGAAATCGGGCCTTTAAAAGGGTAATTGAGGTAAAATGAGGTGATATGAGTGGGTCCTTATAAAAATCCAATATGACTGGTGTCCTTATAAAAAGGGGAAATTAGGACACAGACATACACAGGAGGCCAGTGTGAAGGCACAGGGAGATGTCCATAACAGCCATGGAGGGAGCCTGGGAAGAAATCAATCCAGTTGACACCCTGATTTCAGGCTTCCAGCCTCCAGAACTTCACGAGGAAACAAATTTTTATGGTTTGAGTCACCTAGTCTGGGATACTTTGTTATGGTAACCAACCGTAGGAAGTTAATATAGACAATAAGTTTCCATCACTAAAACAGAATGGGAAAATCACCACACCATCCTAGAGAGTTACACAGCCTGTTTGACCAGTCTGATTATTTCCCTAAGTTCACGAACCCTCAGGTCAGGTGACTTTCTGGGATAAGAGCCAGCTTTCTCTTGCTGTTACTTCATCCATTGGTCTGCAGACATTTCCGTCTTCTTCCAACTTCCCCTCCTATGACAGGGGAGATAAACATTAGAGAAACAAAAGCACAGAATGTTAACGTTGCCACTCTCACTTCCTCTTGCACCTTAACCCAGAACTGCTTTGAATACAGTAATTGCCCTGAGGCACTGAGCCAGGGAGAGAAGACAGCAGTGCCTCAGCCGTAGGCACTTAGAGCCCATCATGTTTTTACAGGGCCACTTCTGCTCACCGAAAATGCTGGGATGATGTCTCCCACCCGCCTGGCTGGGACTCTGATCCCGGCCATGGCCTTCCTCACCTGCCTGCGCCCTGAGAGCTGGGACCCTTGCATACAGGTATGTGGTTGGGTCAGTTCACCTCCTGTAAGATTTGCCTTGTTTCTGAAAAACGCTCTCTTCCAAGTACTTCACACTGTGGGCCTCAGTAAGTTTTCTTTGCAAAATGGAGTTAAAATTGCCTTAAGGACTTGAGAAGCCACAGAGACTAAATAATTCATGGTTACAGGTACTAACCGGCAGCCCATGGAGTTGTGTCCCATTTAGGACTTTAAGTGCTAATAGGGGTTTTAGGTCACATAGACCTGCTTAAAATCACTGTTCTTTAACCTCTGAGCTGTGTGTCCTTGAAAAAGTTACTAAATCTCTCTGAGACTACTTTTTACATCTATAAAAACATAATAATACCTCCTTCAATACAGAATTGTAAGGCGGCTGCTTCTTGTGATTCCTTTCTGCTGGTGGTTTGTACACTTAGTTTTAAGCATTCTCTTTGCCTCTTTCAATTCAGGAAAAGTTTTGTTTTGTTTTGTTTGGTCTCTTAATAGAACTTTTCAGTTGCATTTCAGAAATCTAAATCTAGTCACAGGTCTGTTCAAAGGAGGAAAAGAAAAGAGTTGGGAAAAAAAGGACAGAAAATAAAGACGGAGAGAGACAAAAGAAAAAAAACAGAGATATAAATTATCAACTAATACAATGTCTATTTTTTCCCTGTGAAATACCAACCCACTGCTTTGTAATCTCATTCAAGATGGAAATATTTTGGTTTTCCCCAGCATGGATTTCACATTGCTTGGGAAGCCTATAGTAGAACCAAACATCCAAGAGAATAGTCTGGGATTTAGGGTCAGAAACTCAGGAAAAGCATATCCAGCCAGTTCTGAAATTGAGGGCACGAGGGAAATACTGTAGTTCAATTTGTAACTGAGCTGAATGTATCTCCAAGTCTCCCCAACCCTGATCCCCAACCCCCAGCCTTACTCCTAATTCTCCTCTGATCCACCTGTGATTGGGTTCATGGGGGTAGATCTTCTGATCAAGGTCACGCTGGATAAAATCACCCCTCGTTTGGCTCCTCCCTTTCTCTTCACGCCCCATATACTCATCCTCCAAAGCCTGTGTAGCCCTGCCGGTCCCCTCAGTGCCACCCTAGGGCAAGTCCTCTTGGCAAGTGATTGGTCTCCTAACTCCGTGGACCCCTTCCTTGAATTTACTGTGCACATTTTTGTTTGTTGTTTATTAGTTGTTTTCCCTGAGGCTCAGTTCTAACAAATTATCCTTGTTAAAAAACAAAATTCATCCAAGTAAATGTGAAGATGTAATTGGCTTTATTAAATAATTCATGAATTAGGCAGCATCCCCTCTAGCAAGTAGAGAGATGCTCCAAGGAATTGTACAGAATGGAAGGTTTTTATAGACAGGAAGGTGGGGAAAAGTTATTACCAAAAGAATAAAAGGGATTGTTTCAGGCAAGATCACTTTCTGTAGGGGGGAAAGCAAGGGATCTTATAATGCAGATTACCTTTTCTTCTTTCAAGGAAGAGAGAAAGTTCAAGGGATAGATTATCTTTTCAGTGATGCTGAACAGAAAATTCCTAACTGACTACATTTCTGGGAAAGGCTGAACCTGCAATTAGATTTAGGTATTAGCCCTGGTCTGGACTTGGCCCAACAGAGTTGACACCATGTTGGACCTGTGCATTTCTCTTTAAGATCCTCCTTAAAACCTTTTAATAACATTTTATTATAATTAGGACAGTTTGCTACCACAGGACCTTTGCACTGGCTATTTCCTCTAGCTACAATCCTTTTCCCCTAGATGAGTGCTACCCAAAGGCAGTATCACGGGGATTGCATGATATTATTTAAATTTAAATAATACATTTAACTAATGCATTTAACTAAATAAAATTAATTTTTAACTAAATTTAAATGTAGTTTAAAATTCTGTTGTAGCCACATTAAAAAATAACAGGTGAATTTAATTTTAATAACACTTTTATTTAACCCAGTATATTCAAAATATTATTTCAAAATGTAATATATACTAAAATATTAAGATATCTTACATTCTTTCTTTGGTACTCTTTGTAATTTAGTGTATGTATGTTACATTTAACATACATCTCAGTTTTGACTGCCCCCATTTCTTGTGCTCATTAGCCATCTGTGGCTAGAGGCTACCATGTTGGACAGTGCAGACCCAGATATTTTCATGACTTAATCCCTTACATTATTCACATCTCTGCTTAAATGTCACCTCCTCTGGGAAGTCTTCCTTGATCGCCTCTTGTAGAGCTCTCCATTTCGCATATTTGCTTCTAATCTTCTATGCTGCCTTTATATTTTTATAGCACACCACTATACATTTGTTCATTGTTTGTCTTTCCCTATGAAATGGAATCTGTAAAAAGACAAGATCATTGCTGGCTTACTTATCTCTATAACCCACTGTTTCATGCCAGTCTTACCTATCAATAACCAATGTTGTGACTGGACTGATCCTTGTATTTGTGAATGCAAGATGCCCTTCAGCAATAGTCATCAGGAAATTTTGAAAAAATAAAGGTTTATCACTGACAGGGCCAGGCAATTACACAGCACAGGTAAGGCCCCATAGCAAGGTGACAGAGAGAGAGAAAGCACGGAGGGCCCTGAGGTTCTGCTTCTACTGGGGTCGAGGGTGGAGCCTAGGGTTTTGGGGGCTCATCCTTTGTTGGTGAATTTAAAACAGAAGAGTAGGAATTAAAGTGTGGAAAGGGAAGAAAAAAAATAGTGGCCTAAATAGCCAGTTTTTAAAATCAACCAAGGTCCAAAACAAAGGAGCCTCACAGTGGGGGAAGTGGCCAGGCTCTTTATCTTGGTGTGCCTGGCAGTGTGTTTATTCAAGATAACCCTTTTTGAAGTGGATGCCTCCACAATCTAAGCTTAAAATGGGCACTTGCATTACAAAAAGAAAAGCCAGCTGTCAGAGCTTATACCATTGCCAGTGCCTAGCATACAGTAGTTGCTCAATTTATATGTGTTAAATGATTAAAAGTATTGCCATAGGACAAAATAAAAGGCCCTCCTAGTCTGGCTCTAGCTCCCCCTCTGGCTTGGGTTTGACCATTCTCTCCAGGTACCAACTGAACAGAATTAGTTTTCCACCCCTTCTTGTTTACACTGTTTTCTCCCTCTTTGCTCTTCCCACATATTAATATCTTATTCATTCTTCAAGACCCACCTTGAAATCTCTTTCTCAGAAGCTATGATCCCTGGATCCAGAATTGATCTCTAATTTTCTGAAATACGAACTGTTTTCCAAGGCTGGTGTATGTTCCTTTCTGGTAGTGTGAGGTTCGGCTTCTGTCTTATCCCTTTCTCTGGGAGCTCATGAAAGTGTGGAGTTGCATCATATTAGTGTCTGCATTGTCCACATTTAGCAGAAAGATGCCTAGACTTTGGACTTAAACAAACCTCCACTCATCAGTTATTCATTCATTTATTCAACAAATACTTACCAAGCATTAACCATTTACCAAGCACCATTCTAAGTGCTGGAGATATAACAGAGCAAGACTCTGCAAACTTACCATCTAGGGACGGAAATGAACAGTATGTATGGAATAATCCCACAGACAACATAATTATAGCTGGTGGGTGATACATCTGCGGAGGAGGATGGAAGATGGTAGGGAAGAATGCCTGGTAAGGAAACCAGCCTCTACTAGACAGTACAGTCTGTGAGGCTCCTATGACAGACAGCATTTGAGGAGACGTGAAAATGAAGTGAACAGCTGTACATAGGACCTGTGAAACTTTATGCATGTTGCCTCATCTCTCTGACTTCTTTTTCTTTAAAAAACTTTATGTGAAGATTAATGTATATAACATAAAGGAAATATGCCACCATATACTAAGGGATTAACAAGAGCAGATAATAATAAATGTTAATATTTACTGATCATTTATACTGTAATAGGCATTGAGATAATCTCTTTAAATGGCTTATTCATTTAATCCGTTTAACAGATGCTACTGGTTTTTAACAGAAAACCCAAATTAGCTGGTTTAAGCAAGGAATTTTTTTGAAGAAACCAGAGAATTCAGGAATTAAATGGGAGGTTATTGAACAAGGTTTGCAAAGAATTAGGGAAAAGTTTATAGAAACCAGCATAGGAACCAAGGGAGCAAAAAGCACTTGACCTTATTTACTGGGTTCCACTACTGGAGTCCATGCACTCCAGAGATTTTTTTTCCCCATTTCTGTATCACCTGCTCAAAGGTAAGTGAGTCAAGGGAGAGAATGCAATTGGCAGAAATCAGGCTATGATTAAGGGAGGTCTGGATATTGTGCCTGGTAGTCTCCCCAAGGCTGTATACAGTGGGGTTGTATTTAGGGAAAAGAAAGCTTTTCCTCAAATCACACAGAAGAGTTGGGGCAAGACCCAGAGCTTTTGTACTCCAGAGCCTCACCTCTTTGCCACTTGACTCCATTGCTTCTTGCTAAATGCTGCCATTGTGATACTAGTGGTGAGAATATGGCATGGATAGTAGGTACCCTTCCCTTCCTAATTTAGAGCATAGCATTTTGTAAGTATAAAGGGAGTGGATAAATGGATGAATGAATGGATAAAGGTTGGCTGGGCACTGTGCTTGCACTAGAGGTCTCTCAGGCTCTGGCACAGGGAGGGGAGTTGAGAGGGCAGGCCACTGAGATGCCTTCATCTAATGTACCATCATTGCAGGTGGTTCCTAACATTACTTACCAATGCATGGAGTTGAATTTCTACAAAATCCCTGACAACATTCCCAGATCAACCAAGGAACTGGACCTGAGCTTTAACCCCCTGAGGCATTTAGGCAGCCATAGCTTCTCCAGCTTCCCAGAACTGCAGGTGCTGGATTTATCCAGGTAACAATGAGCTTTTACACACTGCATAAGGTGACATGTTCTTTGTTCTATTATTTCATTCTTAACTCAGAAAGCCTGGTTGGTGGAGTTTCATCTTATAAACCTGGTCAAGCCACCTCCCCTCTCCAGGTCTGTTTCCCTATCTGTGAAATGAACATTTGGATGAGATATTTTCTAAAGATAATTCCTTCTTTGGATTTTCATTTAATTCAGGGGAGAAAACTGGCTCAAACTCTTTCATCAGCAATTATTTACTTACTACAACATATACTTATTATATGTTGTACACTCTGCTAGGAAACAAGAATATATGGATATATAACATACAACCCCATGTACTAAGGAGGACATATGCACTTGGAAGAATCAGTATGTTAAAATCTTGAGCATGGTGCTGGGTACATAGTAAGCATTCAATAAAGGTTGCTTGATTCTGATTTTGGATTTTGAAGCTGAGATAAAGACGGTAACATTATAATAGGAGGTGATATATTATGTGTACACGAGAGGTAAAACATTGTATTGTTCAGAAGAGGGGCCTTCTCTGCAGTGGATAATCAAGACAAGATTTCATGATTTGAGTGGGATTCAAATAATGTCTAGAATATTGAAAGTAGAATAGAGGATAGGGAATTAGGAAGGTACAAGTAACACAAGGAGAAAGATGGCAAGATTGAAGGTAAATATCTGCTGGGAGAAGGAACAGTGAGTATGATTTTCTTTTCTGATGGAGGGAAGTATATCATTTACTGGGATAAGTGATTATCATTATTTTGGGGTCAGGTACTGAATCCTAAAATTATTTTCATCATTAGGGCCTTATTTAAAAATGTACTAGATAATGGACTATATTCTCTATAAAAGTTTTTGGAAAATGAAGAAATGTTATGTGTATGTATATATGTATACATATATATACATATATGGCTTTTTATTATGGAAATTCTTATTAAAGACTAAGAGCATACTATAAAAATCCATTTAGAACAGATATTTCTGTAGACAAGTGAGCATCTGATGTTTAGAGTCTAAATTGGATATTGATAGAACGTAACAAAAGGGACATTTTAAAGAGTGAGAGAGAGCACAGAACCCTGTGGGGGTCAAGAGACCTGAGCAAGGTCCTCCTCCAACATTTATAGCTATGTGGCGTGAGACAGTCACTACCTCAGCCCATCAGATTCATATGTAGAAGTCCTAATGTGACTCAGTTTTCACATTTGTGAAATGGAAATGATGAAGCTTAACCCACAGGGATAAATGTGAAAATGAATGTCAACTTGCTATGTATATTAAAAACTTTATAAGTATAAAATATTATTATTATCATTATTATTATGGCATTTCACTGGTTGTAAAGTTTAGTTTTCTGAGTAAGAATTTCGTGAAGAACTATATTGAGTTAGATAGACAAACCTCCCCCATTTTTAAACAAGTAGTTTCTCAACAAACAATGTCTCTTATAATTCATCTTCAAACCCCTACATTCCCAAGGAACTTCCCTCAGAGACCTTAAATATGTGCTTAGAGAGAAGCCAGCTCCCCCTCCGGCTAGCCAGCAGGAGATTCTGGATTAGGGCAAGAACAATCAATAGCACAACAGATACTCTGTGCCTCAACTAGTCAGTTCTCTGTGGATGCCCATGATGGACCAGGCAGCCTTTGTCCCTGCTATGGAAACCTACTGATACACACTTTTTTCTTTTTATAGGTGAGCAAACTGAGATTTGGAGAGCTTAAGTGACTTATCTATGTTCACATAGCTTGTTAGCAGTAGAACAGAGACTCATGTACACGTCTCCTGCTTCCAAGTTAAACGTTCTCTTCATCTTAATACTCTGCTTATCTAAAGTAATGACCCCTCTTTGATGAGACAGAAACATAGCAAAACCCTATACCATGATGCATAAGGACTATGGGCTGTAAAATCATGTAACTGAAAGTAACTTGAGGAATAATCAAGTTTAGCTATCTCAGGTAGCAATAATAACTAAGGCCAAGAGGAAAGGCAGTTCCCAAGATCATGGTATGAAAGGAAAGCAGAGGCATCAGAACCCAGGTGTCTTATCCCCCTTCTCAGTGTTCTTTCCACTGTACCCACCCCCTTCTATCCAGTTACCAGTCAATACCAAAAATTGGACCAAATGCTTTCATTACCCATGACTCTCCTGAGGGGATATAGCCAGTGGGGAACACTGCAAATGCAACTCAAGTTGGATTAGGAAAGGACTCATTTGCAAAGCATAACTGGTCTGGACTCACAATGCTAGCGAGAGTTTTCCATTGGCTAGATGAGAGCCTTGTGTCTGGGACACTTCGGTGAACACTGTATGCAGCATGGCTTCTATTTCCCTTGGGTGAAATTCAAAACGCTTTATATCTGGTCTGTAAGCCTCTGCCTTGCTTAGAGCCTTTTTTCTCTACAACCTCATCTCACACCTCTTCTCTTCCCTGTCTCTAATCTGGATACAGAAGCTGTTTTCTTATGGTTCCTCCATGTATCGTGGTTGCTGCCTATCTTAGGTCTTTTGTATCCACTGTTCTTTCCACTTCTTTTTCTTGTTAATTTCTACCCATCTTTCAGATTTAAACCTAAGTGCTATCAGAGAAGCCTGTTTTGATCCCCCTTTCCTAGGTCCATTTCTTTGATATAAACTCTCTCAGCACATTTTCCTTTTCTTCTACAAAACTCACTCCTATCACCTGCTCTTACCATTTACCTGTGATAATTACAACTTCCAAATATCTAGCTATCATATTTGGAGAACCCTGCATAAACATTGAAGTTGTCTGTGACACTTAATGTGTAATTTTTACATCTTTGAAATTGATGTTCACCAGCCACTTATCATACCTAACAACTTAACTGTACCATCTGTACCAATAAGACATATAATCACAATTAGGTGGCTGGAAATGGCTAATGTTGATCCAAGGACATCACATACTGTGTCAGCCATACAGTCTTCATGTATGATTGATCTTTAACTGATTTCCTTCTGAGAGATACGCTGCCTCTGCTTACCACGTGTCCCTAGTGTGACAGAGTTTGTCGCTGTGGCCAGTATGCTAACACTGTTTCTGAGGGGCTTCATCTGCCCTGCTGGAGGTCTTTGCCTATGCAAAAAAAAAAAAAAAATCATACAACATGTCATGTGTGTGAGAGAGCTAGATGCCTGGGATTGTTATTCCGTTTTGGGGTTTTTATTCAGCAGAAATATAATCTGTATTTCTTTTCTCTGTAGGTGTGAAATTCAGATGATTGAAGATGATGCATATCAGGGCCTAGAGCACCTCTCCACCTTGATATTAACGGGAAACCCTATCCAGAGGTTGGCCCCGGGAGCCTTTTCAGGACTATCAAGTTTACAAACACTGGTGGCCGTGGAGACAAACATAGTATCTCTAGAGGACTTCCCCATTGGACATCTCAGAACTCTGAAGGAGCTTAATGTGGCTCACAATCTTATCCATTCTTTCAAGTTACCTGAGTATTTTTCTAACCTGTCCCACCTGAAGGACTTGGACCTTTCTGATAACAAGATCCAAAATATTTACCTTAAAGACTTGCAGGTGCTACATCAAATGCCCCTACACAAACTCTCTTTAGACTTGTCCCTGAATCCTCTGGACTTTATCCAACCAGGTGCCTTTAGAGAAATTAAACTCCGTGAACTGACTTTGAGAAGTAATTTTCACAGTACAGATGTAATGAAAACTTGTATTCAAGGTCTGGTTGGTTTAACAACCAATCGGTTGGTTCTGGGAGAATTTAGAAATGAAAGGAATGTGGAAAAATTTGATAAATCTGTCCTGGAGGGGCTGTGCAATTTGACCATTGAAAAATTCCAGATATCATACTTCAATTACTTCTCAGTTGATACTTCTGACTTATTTAATTGTTTGGCAAATGTTTCTGCAATTTCTCTGGCGCATCTGCATTCAAACCAACTAGAAGGCCCTTGGAAAGGTTTCAGATGTCAATACTTAGAACTGTTTAAATGTAAATTTGAACAATTTCCCATACTGGAGCTCGACTCTCTCACAACGTTTGTTTTCACTGCCAACAAAGGGATGAACACTTTTACTGAACTTAAGCTACCAAGGCTTGAGTTTCTAGATCTCAGTAGAAATGGCTTAAATTTCAAGGGTTGCTGTTCTGAGACTGATTTTGGGACAACCAGTCTCAAGTATTTAGATCTGAGCTTCAATTATATTATTACCATGCATTCAAACTTCATGGGCTTAGAGCAGCTGGAATATCTGGATCTCCAGCATTCCAATCTGAAACAGGCCAATGACTTTTCAATATTTCTATCACTCAAAAACCTCCGTTACCTTGATATTTCTTATACACAAACCCGAATTGTCTTCCATGGCATCTTTGATGGCTTGGTCAGCCTCGAAGTCTTGAAAATGGCTGGCAATTCTTTTCAGAACAACATCCTTCCAAATATTTTCTCAGATCTGACTAACCTGACCACACTGGACCTCTCTAAGTGTCAACTGGAAGAGGTGTCCCAGATGGCATTTGACTCACTCTCTAGACTTCAGTTGCTAAATATGAGTCACAACAACCTCTTGTCATTGGATATACTTATTTATAAACCTCTCCACTCCCTCCAGATTCTGGACTGCAGCTTCAATCGTATAGTAGCCTCCAGGGTGCAAGAAACACAGCATTTTCCAAGTAGTCTAGCTTCCTTAAATCTTAGTTGGAATGACTTTGCTTGTGTTTGTGAACACCAGGGTTTCCTGCAGTGGGTCAAGGACCAGAGGCAGCTCTTGGTGGAAGTTGAACAACTGGTGTGTGCAAAGCCTTTAGATATGCAGGATGTACCTTTGCTGAGTTTTAGGAGTACCACCTGTCAGATAAGCAAGACTATCATTAGTGTGTCAGTTCTCACTGTACTCATACTGTGTGTGGCAGTAGTTTTAGTCTATAAGTTCTATTTCCACCTGATGCTTCTTGCTGGCTGCAAAAAGTATGGCAGAGGTGAAAGCACCTATGATGCCTTTGTTATCTACTCAAGCCTGGATGAAGACTGGGTGAGGAATGAATTAGTAAAGAACTTGGAGGAAGGAGTGCCCCCTTTCCATCTTTGCCTTCACTACAGAGACTTTATTCCTGGTGTGGCCATCGCTGCCAACATCATCCAGGAAGGTTTCCACAAAAGCCGGAAGGTTATTGTCGTGGTGTCCCAGCACTTCATCCAGAGCCGATGGTGCATCTTTGAGTATGAGATTGCCCAGACCTGGCAGTTCCTGGGCAGTCACGCTGGCATCATCTTCATCGTCCTGCAGAAGCTGGAGAAGTCCCTGCTCCGGCAGCAGGTAGAGCTGTATCGCCTCCTCAGCAGGAACACTTACCTCGAGTGGGACGACAGTGTCCTGGGGCGGCACATCTTCTGGAGACGGCTCAGAAAAGCCTTGCTGGATGGGAAGCCATGGAGTCCAGAAGGAACAGCAGATGCAGAGAGCAGCCAGCCCAAAGCAACAACCTCCAGCTGAGGAGGAAAAACTCCTCAAGTGCTTCTTGCCCAGCTAGACCCAATACTTGTTCAGTTAACAAGTATTAAATGCTGCAACCTATTAGCCAGTGTGCTAAAAGCAGGTGATTCAGTGGTGTATAAAATACACAGCACTACTAATCTCATGGAGTTTACAGTGCACAGGGATAAATATCATGCTAAAATACAGAACCTCTAGGTGGATGCTTCAACCAACTCAGCTAAGGAGTCTCTGACAGGAAAAATCAGCTCAACTCTTACACCATCAAATTAAATTAGAACTAAGAGACTGAGCCCCAGTGAGATCAGAAAAAGACCTAGTTCTTCAGCTGAGTCTTTTGAATGGAAACTACTTCGTGTTACATGTTTCAGCCATCTCAAAACAAAGTGGTTTTGGTAGCTGCAGCTAAGCTGGGTCTTTGCTCACTTTATTCTTTTCTGTTGAATCCTGTTTAAATTCTACTTGATGGCTCAGGAGACTCCGGATTCAGATCCCAGCTCCACTTTCAGTCAGTTTCCTTACTGGTTAAAAATCCCATAACTAATAGCTAAGGAAACCAGATTCACAAACATCCTGCTCATTTCTTAGCATGTTCTATTTATTAACTAATAGTCCCTGATACATTTTCATTTTTATAGATCCAGTTCTCATTTTTCATGTCTTCCCTATGATTCTTGTCATAAATAAATCTGGTAGAGGTACTCTGGAAATATCCACATTTAACCACTATCTTTCAGACAAACATGTAAAATGTACGCTGTCACTTTGTCACTTGATGTCGTTCTAAAGTTATTATGTACTAAGTTAGGACTGTCATGAAAGTAGCATTAAAATAATTTGGTTCAAAGTGGCACTTACTGTAATAGAGGGGAACAATTCAAAATTCCGGGTCTCATAATGAGCAATTAAAATTGGAGGCAGGGCAAGAAGTGGGATGACCTCAGGAGGTCAGCCCTTCTTGATGATCTCAGAGACCTGTGGGCTAATATAGCTGACGTGAGCACACGACACGATCTGCAGCAAAGGTTTCTACTGCCGCAAATGAGTATTGTTTGATGCAACACAATCTTTCAAGGGGTTGTGAAATGGTTCAAGGTGGGAAGCATGTGTTGCTTTCATTTCATGACCCCATTTTGTAAAGAGTAGATGTTATCACTGAGAAAATAATGTCCCTGAGGTTAATGTGAGTCACATGAAGGGGAAATCTTAGAAAAGCAGGATCACCCAGGTTCCCCAGAATGGTGCATTCAAAGAAAGAGCAATGAGAATATGTGGGAAATGGGACTGTCAAAAACTGGAAATATGGGCATGGTTGGGAATGTGATTGTGACTGAGTATTTCAGAGTGTATTTTGATTGGAGCATGCTTGGAATCACCGAGCATACCTGGGTGTGCTTATAGGCCTTATGAGCTAGTGAAAGGGGGTATATGTATTTGTGCACATGCCTCTGTGTCTGTGTACATGCAGTAACATGTGTGTCTATGTGATCATGTCTGCATGGAAGAGAATGTGATTAAACTTCAAGGGGAATATGTGCATTTGATGTGGATGTCTACAGCAGCAGACAGGTTTTCTTCTGAGATAGGTTCTCTTCTCCTGTCTTTGTATGGGATTGCTTATATACAAATGTCTGCTTTAAATTCTGAGTGTACATGAAGGCATGTGCTTCAGGCTATATGTGAGTATACCTGTGTTGATATTTGAGCATGCATTCTTCATGTGTGTGTTAGTTCAAGCAAATATACAAGACTCCAAAGAGGAAAATCAAAATACAACTGGACTGTTTCTTGTAAACCAGTCTGACACTGGTCTCCTTCCCATCAATCCCTTCTCCAAGATGAGAATTCTGAAAATTGCAGATGAGGTAGACAAGAAAGGAAAAAATGGTATGACAGAGACAAAGGTAGGAAAGAGGAAAGTCAGGCCTAGGTAGGGTTCTTTGCAGCCAAATTATTTGGATTAAAGAGATGAAGGGTGGAATAGAAAGATGTTAATACTGATTAGAATTAAATTAAATTTGTTTAACACCTTATAACTTGGAACATATTCACACAATTATGGCCATATTTGAATTCTCTTATTATCCAGGTGAAGTAGCAGAATTTGTTTGCCCATTTTACTGACATGAAACTTGACATTCAAAGAGGTAAATGTATTGCCAGTAGGCCACCGTGTAAATGAGTGGAAGGCCTTGACTGGGGCCTCCAGTCTTCTGGGCAGCTCACTTTCCAATACCCTCTACTGCTTCATGCTTCAGGTTGGCAAAACAAGAAGTGAAACTCCTGTAGTTCTCTGTGTGGTTGACACTTGTCAAGGGTTTTTCACCGAAACCATGAGTCATTAGGCAAATACATATGCATATATACATTATATATACCCAATGATGTATTTAGAACACATTTCTTTCCATTAAGTTCATAAGGGAGATTCAAAGTATACATGGACAATAAGGGTAATGTGAACTAGAACTAGAGAATTGGTACAAAGAACAAAGACAGGAAAGAAAGACAGTCAGAATAAGCTTTAGCCTAGTGTTTTCCTGTCCTAACTCCAGAAAGACACACCCCTCTCCAGAGTTTTGGATAATCTGGATTTTGGAGAGTGCCAAAATTCACACTCACCACTGATCGTGTGTGCATCGGGCCCTAATTCTCTTAGATGCTAGCTGACTCAAATGCAAAACGAGGATAGATTATACCCTGTAAAGCTGTTGTAAGTATTAGAAATAATTTCTACTCAATACAAGGGCACTGTTTATATGGGTATAATCCTCTGGGACTTTATAAAGAGGGCACAGGGAGAAGTACTCAGTGGTCTTCTCAATAACAGCATTTTAGAAATTGCTGTTTTCCCAGCCTGTGGGGCCACAGGAGGACTATAACTATAATTAGAAAGTTTCTTTCTGACTTGGCCTCCACCCACAGGACTGTCAGAACCTCAGCCTCCATATAACTTTCTAGAAATCACCAGCAGGTTCCTGAGGGTCTTATGTGACCTCAGAAGAGTCCTTACAAATATGACTGAGAGCCTTGGGAGGGCAGAGAACACGTCTGCTCATCCTCTGCTTCCCCAGCCCTGAGGCTGATGGCCCACCCACTGCAAACATCATCTGTTTAACTGAAGAATTGGTGAGTGGACAAAGAACCATCCCTACAGTGGACGGCCTCTGTGCCTCCTAGTCCAGGTGCCCAACTCCCAGACCACAGTCCCCTGCTGCCCACATAGTTCCTGGGTCCACACACCTCCGCAGCTGCCTCCTGTCTGTCGTTTCCGTGGATGTTCTCGACCACTTCCTCTGCTCTGCTCCTCAACTCCAAGTATTCCAAAAGGTATTTTTCAGAAGCAGGGAAGAGGACTTCTTTTATAGTAGTTAACCTTAATGGCCTATTTTTAGATCCTTGTCTATTGCTTTACATATGATCTCTGATTTAAATTCCCACACCAGGCCTATGAGATGGGCCCTAGAAATATCAGCATTATTTATGACCCATTAGGAAACAAAGGCTCTGAGACCATAAGTCACCTATCCAAAGTCACACAGCTAGTAAATGGCAGAGCTTGCATTTAAACCCAGTCTGTTTGGTATTCAAAGCCAATTATGCTGGACGTTTTCTCTAATGCCTTCCTATTTCTCAAAGATATTTGAATACTACCACTCTCTAACAGTATTTTCTCTTTTCTATGGCCAGGGCTCAACACTAGAACTCAGATATGAAGGTAGAACCCAAGGATGGGTGTTGGGCTGAAGGATGCACTGGATAAAAGACTTTAGGCAGTCCTTTAAATCAACAGCTTCCTCCCACAATGATGGAACGAGCCTTTTCCATTTCAACTCTCTTTTCTGAAGGAGCAAATTCTTTACCATGAGGCTCCCAGGACTTTCATGCAATAAGGTCTGTTCAAATGGCCTTCTAGAGAGGCCAAGCTGTATCTGTTTTTATAGCAATACTCACCATCCTTCAACTCAGTGATCCTTTCTGCCACATGGTTTTAAATAAGGCTCTTCTTTCAATGTCTTCATGAAATGGCAAGAATGTGTCACTGGAATCTTGCTCTAGCTGATAATAGTCTGAATTCATCAACTTTAGCAGTGCACCCTGATGACAATATTTAAGTTGGACTGTCCAGAGGAGGATGACATAGCAAGAGCCTTGGGCTGAGTTTCCTCCTGGCATCATGATTCTCCCTCCTTTAGCTTGACTAAATGAAGAACACAAGTTAACTCAAAGTTCCAGACTTTGAATTTCAGCCTAGCACCACAGAATGCTGATAATCTATTTTGCTACATGAAGAATATAGATACTATGAAAATCAGGAGTGAACAGAAAGTTTGGCTTATATCTTTTCCCATGGAATAGCCTAGCCATTGTTACTAAATGTAGGGGGTGTAGGTAAAAAGAATCCTACATGGACTTCTGTGTGTAGCTGCTAGTCTAGCAGGTGCATAGAGTAGACTTGGATTTAATCCTGGTTCTGCCACAGTTTCACAGTTTAATTTTGAACAATTTCTTAAGCTAATTTTTGTTTGCTTTCTTGAATAGCTAGAGTAAGTCTGTCCTATGCTACAGGGCTACTATAAATATAAAAACAGAGAGTAGAAGGGAGACACAGAACAACTCTAAATTTATCTGCTTGAAAGGGCTATTTTAAGAAAAGGAAATATCCCAAGTCTGGTATGAAGTTGATATAGAAACCTGGAATCTCTCTGAGGCAGGCGGTCTCACACTCATAGTCAAACTCAGGAATTCAATTCTCAGGGAAGGAGAATGGAAAGATAAGGTAGGGTCTGGGCTCTGATACACACACTGAAGTACAGATGCTGCCACTAGCATTTACAAAGAGGCTAAAGCCATACCTTGTGCACTTAAAGTGGAGCAGAATCCTGGACAGTGAGCTGCCTGGGAGGGTGGAAACTGCAATCTGGTCAGGCTCTCCATTTCCTTGTGTGACCGTGGGAAAGTCATTCAAGTGCCTTGAGGCTCAGATTTCAATGCATAAAATGGGGGTAATAATACCTTTTTGGCAGACCTCACTAGGCTATGAGGATAATACTGATAAAAATAACAGTAGTGTCCCTTAATTGACCAATCATTTTGTGCAAGGGCTTTATACGTGTTACCTCATTTTCTTTGTCACATCAATGAATTAGGAAGACACTGATTATTTCCAATTTTCAGATGAGAAGAATGACGCTTGGAGACATTCTATAATGTGTCTAACATCGCCTGCTAATAAATGGCAGCTCTAAGGTTATAATGTAAGTCCACTTCTTCATAGCCAGAACTACTGAACACTGTATTATGCCAAGTGCACTCTCCTGTCACAGAAATGCACAACACCTATCTTACCCTCATAATTTTAATTAACAATAACCAGTAATATTGTTACTTTTTGATATAACTATCATAGCCGTAAGAGCCTGGGAAAAAGTAAGTCAAGGATACATGTCATTAAAGATTTTTAGCAATGGATACATCAGGACCACTCACTGATAGCCTTCCTGTAAACAACATGCTTAAGCTGCTGTATTATTTCTCTAGCCAGTCAGACTTCCTGTTGGGTATCACAGACCTGTGATGGAACATAGAGGTTATGGGAAAGTTCCAAAAGCTAAGAACTTTTCAGATGGCTAGAATAAGATCACACACTCTGGGTTCCATTGTGGAGATCACTGAGCTTTTCAACTCAAAGTGAAACCTGTGGACTCAGTGGTTGATCAAAAAGAAGCGAATACACTGGGCACCACGTGTGCTCATCCAAGCGCTGCCTCTACCCTGTGAGTTAGTTAGGTGTCACTCTCTGCAAGTGAACAATGAGGAAATGGATGCCCAGAGAGAAGGAGTAACTTGCCCACAGTCACACAGCTTGTATGTATTAATAATAACTAACATTTGGTAAGCTTTTGGTACAGGGCTGGGATTATTCTCATCTGTGTATTAAATAATTTGATAAAATGATCCTGCTGGGCGAGTGTTGGTAGCTTTGCCATTTCTCATATAAAGAAACTGAGGTGCAAAAGTCAACTGTCCAGTTGGAAAGAGCAGAAATAAGGTATTCTCTGTGTGGTTGACACTTGTCAAGGGTTTTTCACCGAAACCATGAGTCATTAGGCAAATACATATGCATATATACATTATATATACCCAATGATGTATTTAGAACACATTTCTTTCCATTAAGTTCATAAGGGAGATTCAAAGTATACATGGACAATAAGGGTAATGTGAACTAGAACTAGAGAATTGGTACAAAGAACAAAGACAGGAAAGAAAGACAGTCAGAATAAGCTTTAGCCTAGTGTTTTCCTGTCCTAACTCCAGAAAGACACACCCCTCTCCAGAGTTTTGGATAATCTGGATTTTGGAGAGTGCCAAAATTCACACTCACCACTGATCGTGTGTGCATCGGGCCCTAATTCTCTTAGATGCTAGCTGACTCAAATGCAAAACGAGGATAGATTATACCCTGTAAAGCTGTTGTAAGTATTAGAAATAATTTCTACTCAATACAAGGGCACTGTTTATATGGGTATAATCCTCTGGGACTTTATAAAGCGGGCACAGGGAGAAGTACTCAGTGGTCTTCTCAATAACAGCATTTTAGAAATTGCTGTTTTCCCAGCCTGTGGGGCCACAGGAGGACTATAACTATAATTAGAAAGTTTCTTTCTGACTTGGCCTCCACCCACAGGACTGTCAGAACCTCAGCCTCCATATAACTTTCTAGAAATCACCAGCAGGTTCCTGAGGGTCTTATGTGACCTCAGAAGA